CGTCCACCCCCCGCGTCCTTTCAGGTTTTTTCTCAATCTGATGGGTTTTCTCGGTGGGTCCTTTGCTGTTTCCCTCCTCACTAATGCAACGTCCGAGTGCGAAACGCGCGGTTGGCACGACCCCTGCGCAAGCCCTTGCCACCCCTGTCCTGGCGAGGTGCTATCTGGTCTCCAGGGTCTCCAGATATTCCAGTGCTATGTCGTAGCAGAAATGATACTGCTCCTGTTTGGAGAGAGAAGAGAGGGTGTTACGATCCCGAGCAAACTATTTCCCAAAGCTATCCCTCTTCAAGGCAAATTAAGTTCCGATAACCCTAAGGAAAGTGTCTGAAATTAAACCCTTGCCCTGAAATCAAAATGTTTCTTTATTTTTGAGTTCAGCAGAGGCTGCAAACAGGGAGTGTGCTCAGATCAAGAAGAAAAAAACAATTGCTGTTTTCCATCCCTGGCAGAGATTTGGTCTGGGCGTTTGCTTTGCATGGGGGGAGAGGCATGAAGGGAAGTCCCAGGAGCTTTCCCTTCCAAAAATCCAAACCTTCCAAGGAAAACACCAGACAAACAAGTATCTTGGTGCTGAAGTCAAAGCCTGACCCGCCTGTGATGGCTGGGCTGGGCCCCCTCTCCCGTTCTTTCCCTTTTTCGAGGCAGCTACGGACGGTGTCAGCACCTTCCCACCCTTGGCTTCCCCCCAGCTGCACGAAGGGAAAGCCCAGTGTGGCTGGGTTTTACAGCAAAATTCACTGAAATTGGGCTTGTGAAGGCAGTCTTGTCCCTTCTTGTCCTTTTACATGACCTGTTCTTGTGCTCTGCTGTCCTCATCCAAGTTACAGCACAGAAAACCGCAGGGGGAGCTCAGACCTCCAGAAGTGCCCACCCCCATGAGATGTGGCTCCTTCAAGCATCCAACAAGCAAATGCAGCCGGAGTGGGGGGGAAAAGATCTCAAAACAAATAAATAAGGCTTCTGATGCTGCTACAAGTGCTGGGACATCAGACTGGAGCATTCCAGGTGCAGCAACAGGGAGGGAAAGGGAAGAGCTCCTCTCCCAAAATCCAAGGATTGAAGCTCAAGTACCGAAAATCCTGTTACGTCCCTCGCGGGTGGGCGGCGGCACGGGGAGCCCAGGTGGGAGTGGGGGAGAAGGGCTTCGAAGTGAGGAGGCTGCGAGAGCTTAGATTAAAAGCACATAATGCTTTTTGGATTAAGAAAAGGGATTGTTTCCATTTATCATCATATAAAAATAAACGCCGCAGGCAAATAGAAGGGGGAAGATGCAGGGGCAGCAGGAAACTGCTACACGCCGGCTGCTCTCCGCTGGGCTGCGGCTCTTTACGCTGCGTGAGGATCCGGCCTCCCAGTGACTCCGGTAGATTGGGATTCCCAGAATAGACGGTTCAGGTTCATTTGAGGCTGGAGGACGCTCGTGTCCTGATGCGAAAATGTTGCCTCTTTTTAATACCCTTTGCAATTTAGCCCAATGGGTCTGGTGGCTTCATGCTTGTCACATCATCTTTCCATTATCTGCATCCCTCCCTCCGCTCCTCTCTCCCCTCCCTCACCTTCTCCTCCACTTTAATTCCTAATGCAAATCACATCCCCTCCTCCGAACCATTTCATTTTGCAACTTAGGGATTTTATAACCTAAACACGGTAAACATTTCCAGCTGATTGCTTTTAAAACATCACTAGGCACCTGGATTGCTGAGCCACGGGGACGGGCACGCGCCTGCTCCATCCCCTCTCTGGTTATCTGGGAAATCCAGCACGGGCTTTTCACCCTGACCCACTGCTGCCTCCCCCTTCCCATCACAAAACGTGGCTCCATCGCTCCCCACAGCAGCTTGCCCACCAATTAATTTCACTCAAAATGCAGTTCCCTTTTATATTCCCAACAGAAATTTGTTTGACTCCACCTCGGAGCCACAAACCCTCCGAAGAGCCACAATTACATCCCATGAATTAATGCAAACCTGCCTCGTTACTCCTGGGAAGAGTTTCCGACAAGCCCAACGCCTGCGCCAAGGGCATGTCAGCACAGCAAGCCCAAGGCTGCTTTCACGAGCTGCCTCGCCTCCCTCTCCACCCCAGCCTGCAGCAAATCAGGAATTTGGGATGGGAAAGGAGGTGTTTGGGGAGGTGAGCATCCTCCAGCACCTCTCCTCCCTGCCAGAGGGATGTCGGAGGGAGCAGCAGGCAGGGCAGATGCTGGCGGTGTCTGGTGCTTACCAAGGTCTCTACCATATTTGGCTTGTAGTTACGGAGGGTCTTTGCAGCATAAAAAACATCTGCCATGTTGTGACACTTGATCATCTCCAGGATCATGGTGGAGGCACAGAAGGTGCCGCTCCGGCCACCTCCGTTCCTGATGGAAGAAACACACGTGTTGGTCATGGGAAGATGGTATTAGAGCATCTTCCTGCTCCCTCTAATTGCCTCTTTCTCCATCCCAGGAGATGTCCCAGAAAAGGGGCTCATACCCCAGAGTCCTCCCAATCTTGGGGACCTGAATCAGACCCACAGGGCGGCAGGAGCTGTGATCCTGCCCTCCCGTCCTCACAAGAGCCACAACAGAGCATGAAAACACCTTTCTGGACCATCAGGGCTGGATCTTGGACATCTGGGCTCAGTTTCCAGCCCTGCCACGGATCGATTCCTCGTGTGACCTTGGGGAAGTCACTGTGTCCCTCTGCCACCTTGCTCCCCTCGGCAGGACGACCCTGGGCTGATGACCTGCTGGGTAGTGCTGGCTGGAGGGACCACCCCACGTTTCACCCAGCTCGCTGGGTACCGCTCACCATCCCGGGCCAAACCCATCCCACACCACCACGGCTGATCCTCGGCAGCAAGGCGGACCGGGGAGAGGAAGAGAGGACACGATGCCGATGTTTTACAAAACATGCTCTCAAATTCTCCTTCGGCTAATGAAGATGGACGAGGCTGTAATTAATTTCTGATTAAAGGCTCGCCTGCTGTCTCTACCAATCTGCGAACGTGCGAGGAGAGCACACACGGGTGTTTGTGTGAGCCAAACCCCGCCAGGAGGAGGGGAAGGGACAGCAGGTCCACCTTGATGAGCAGCAAACGGTGGGAGCTGCAGAGCTCCTGCCACGTCCTTTTGGAGCCTGTTACAAGCACAGGACGTGGTGACAGGGCTGGGACCTCTGCCAAGCCCCGCTGCGAGCAGGGACCGGCACGAAGGGCAGGATTGCTGCTAGCGGGTGTCACTCCTGCTGAGCATCCATCTCGTGGAGGGGGTTTGACATGGTGACCACAAGGTGCCTCACCCACAACTCGTGTTGTGGGAGAGAGAGCACCATCTGGGGACAAAGTCACCCCAGTGACGGCTTTTTAGAGGATTTCCAGGCAGAACTACGGACGCCACAGCTGGTGGCGTCTTCCCCCACACCAGAGCCCCCTTGCCTCCAGCTGACACTCACAGGCAGTGCACCACGGTCCTGCCATCGCCGCTCTCCTTCTGCCACCTCTCCACTTGGGCCAGGAGGTTCAAGAAGGACTTCTTGGAGTCCGGGGTGTCTCGGTACGCCGACCACCGCAGGTACTGGAAATGCCGGACCATTAGGTGTCCCTCCTGCAACTAGAAAAGCAAATCTCGTCAGCTTGAACCCATGGGCTGCCCTCTTTTGCCTCCACTGGATGTTTGATAGAGGTCAAGAGGGGCTTGTCATACACTAATAGCAGAGGAAGAGAGCAAAACCCTTTCCTGGTGCTTTAAGACAGGTGGTTTAGCCCTCCCCTCTGCAGCTCACACTGGGTCCACCATCCCCTCCCACCCAGGAGAAGCTCCACTGACACAGTTTATCCCAACTCACAGCACCTTGGGCTGTCTCTGTCTCCCAAAACCTGTCACCAGACCCCTGAGCCTCCTCAAGGCTTCTCCGTCACGCCTTTATCTTGCATGCAGAAGATTCCAGAGGTCGTGTTTTTGTTGTGTTTGCTGTAAACCAAGAGGCTGATGAGAAGCTGGCACCCACGGAGGCGGTGAGCGGCGGAAGAGCTTTAATACCCTGGTAACCTGGTTAGTGTTGAAACCTAATCTGGTTAGCAGGCTCCAGGAGGAGGATTACATCCACAAAGCTAAACGACGCCAGGCTTTAGCCAGGCAGATGGGGGGGTCTTGCTCAGAGGTACTCGGGGCATCAGAAGTACCTGACGGGTCTCACACCACAGCTGCGTCTCGGGACTGGGTGACACGTGTTGGGAGATTGGAAGAGAAAGGGGGGATGGGATGCTGATGGGAGATCCTCAGCTCTGAAGGGCTCCGTCCACCCAATTTCAGGTGCCTGATGAGTGGGATGAGCACCAGACCATCTCCAACCAGCAGGACCGGGTATTCTGTGGCCCTTCAGGGAGCCCCAGCCTGGGGAGTGGGCGTTCGGGACATTGGGTGCTCACTCCAACCAGCACACGCCGGATGCTCCGCAGCTTTTCTGAACCTTTTCAGGAGCTCCACTGTGGGCTGGTGATGTGGCTGGGGCGGGCTGGCCTTCCCCGGCCCCAGTTTCTGCTTCCCGTTGGGA